CTAGAATAGGAGAAGGTTTTATACAAGGATGGCAAGCAGTAGGCACTCTCAGCAAATCTCCCAAAGCTTGGCCTGAGGTTAAAACCCTATGGCATTCCGAGCGAAAGAAAATGTGTTTTTGGAGAGAGGGATGAACTAGAAAATAAATTCTTAGAGAGGGAAAATCGATTTTTAGAGAGAGAAAGAGAGGGGTAGGGGTAAGAAAACTAGTTTTTTGAGTGAGAGCCGGTGAGTGTTTAAGGAGGGGTGTGGTGGGTTTTGAAAAGACATGAGTTACTAGAGAGAGAGAATGAGTTTTTAGAGAGAGAAAGAAGAGACTAGGGTTGGGGAATGAGGTGGGTGAGTGGTTACGTGTACTCACTCCTCTTCTAAATATGTTTTTATTTCTCAACACTTTTAAGGGGTTTTAAATTTTTTTTAAAATGTTTTAGCATTTTCTCTCTTTTTGAAAAAAGTTTATATGAGGTTGCAACTTTAAAATGTAAAATTACATATACACCTCAGATTTCCATCAAAAAAAGTTGTTTTAATGTTGAAACACCCTCTAGTTGATCATCTCGACATCGTGATGTCTAAACATGAAAAAAAAAAAACAAGATTTGACTCTCAAAAATAGTGCATCTAGCAATATATTATCTAGACCATTCAGTTTCAAGATTTTCATATGTTTATAGATCTACTTGATTTTAATTATTTTATAAGTTTACAATTTTATAATTAGATATGAAAATATAGTTTTAGATAATCCTAGTAATTTTTTTGCGCCTAAATTATATGTTATGATAAAATTTGAATGTGCGCTTTAATTGGATTGTTTAAAGTTGCAATCTTATAAAAACCACATCCTTTAATCGGGTTTTTAATTGGGTAACACATTGTACTCTTAAGTATCGTTTAGACCGACCATAAAATGAAAAGTCAAAGTAAGATTTTTTGGATAGATAAGTGGGGAATTTAAGTATCGTTTAGACCGACCATAAAATGAAAAGTCAAAGTAGGATTTTTTGGATAGATAAGTGGGGAATAGACGTTCTTACCCATTTTTAGAAATAATTAGGGGTTTTCAAACACGTCACGTCACGTAAAATGGAAACCTAGATCGTTAGCTGAGGCTCAAGTGATACCACCTTAACCCTACTCCCTTGATGCCCTTCAATAACACAAATAAGCAACTCCTTAACGGTAGATTCTTTTGAAGAGATCTTACCTTAATCAAAAAGGATTATAGTTTAGGAAACCACAGGTGGATGTCAAGTGATCATAAAGGATTATAGTTTAAGAAACCACAGGAGGATGTGAAGTGCGAGAATTCAATTCATTTAAGGTAACGAAAGGTTACAACAAAATACAAAAAGGAAAGAGAAAAAGAAGCATATGACCAAAGAAACATGGAGAAAATCCACCGCCCTTCAGACCGTGGTTGGGGAGGCTCTCCCTCAACAAGGATTGCCACTAGTCTTTAAAAGGTGGCTTTCATCCATTCGCCTAGGCTAGTAACTCGGCCCAAGTCCAAGTTAAATACACTAAAAAATAAGTGAAAGAAAAAATTTAAAACAAAATATCTAAAAATATAAAAAGTTAAAAAGGATTAATTGGCCAAGTTACTTGCATAAAAAAAAGTGAAAAAAAGTTCAATCAGAGGTAAAACAGTTCAATAAGAGGCAAAACATTTCTGTAAAAAATCGAAAAATCAAAAGAAATAAAAAGGATTAATAGAAATTAGTAGGAGACTAAATACCATAGAAAAAATGTATAAAAGATGGATCCTAAATAATTGGATATATACCTTGAATATTTCGAAGAAGTTTTGAAAATGGGTAAAATATGAAAGTTTGAAAATTATCTAAAAAACTAAAAAAAAAAATTAGATAAATATTTCTGACCAATATACTAGTATTTTCTAATATTTATAGTTTTTATTTTTTTATGAGTTTTTTAGGCCGAACAAATTGTGCAGTAACATGCCAACAACTCACCTAACCAACGAGGTTAAGTTTTGTTGTAACGAGGTTGAGTTTTTTTGTGAGTTTTGTTGTTTTTTTTTTGGGTAATTGAGTGGGAAAGGCAACCTCTACCCATTTTTTCAAGTATATTAGGAGTTAGTTTTTTTAAGGTATTTGTGTGATGGTGTTAGTAGTGGGAATGGATACCACAATGTAGTGACTAGAGTGTGGGGTCCTACCACCACGACCCAGCCCTTTTTCAAGTTTGTCTCGTGACATTGGGGAAGAGTCTCTCAAGTCTGCAATCCATAGTTAGCAAGTCGCTGTTTAAACCATTATTTTTTCAAAAATCTCCAATTTTTTGAAATCCATTAAGAACTCCCGAATTTTCAAAAGATCTTCAAAAATCATATTTTTTTTAATGGAACCGATATGAAACCTTTTTCTTAAAAAAAAAGTAATTTAAAAAAAAAAACTTGTTTCCTATAATTTTAGTTTTTAGTAACTTAATATTATTGAATTTTGGTTTAAAGATGAACACATTAATAGTGGGAGTAAATTAAGACTATTGATTTAACAAAAACTTTATAGAAAATTTCAGCACTAAGTTCCTTCAAAAAAGTGTACGAAAAAAAATACAAGTAATATATTTCCCCAAAAAATAAGATATCAAAACAACTGCATATCTCACAATAATAAGTGGTGTTAAAAGACGAGTAACCCAAAAAACAATTTCTTAAAACCCAAGAGCATCCTTATAAGAGCAAGAGAATGATTCAATTATACTGAAAATTTAGTCAAGGAAGTCAATGCAAGATTCAAATTTGCTTCAACATTTTGTTATTTTTTTTATGTATAGAGAAGTTTGATTAATTTTAATCGTTTTATTTTTTATTTTATTGATGTATGCAACATGACGCCGACCGAGGTTCGTAATACCCTCCAAATTCCTGACGATGAGCTCATGAACTTTCTAAGTCGGAAGTACGCAGTCCGAGTTTTCCCTTGGGTTTTGAAAGTTTTTTGTTTTTGGAACTGGGAATTTCAAAAGGTATTTTGGGTTTATGGTTTCTTAGTGTTTATGAGAATTTTTGGTAATTTTAAGAGATTTTTAAATTTCTGAAGTTATTTCAGGTATTTTCGATTTTAAGGAGCGTAATATGTGTATTTTGATAAAATTGAGGGGTAGCATGGGGATTATGGGATGGAGCCACCCCCCACTCATGCCGGTGTATGAAACTTGGGTCACCCCACACTCAAGCCCATGTATGAACCTTGGGTCCACCCCTCTCAAGAATAGGTCGACAAAATTTCAGCACCATCACCCTATACGAAGTCTCTTTGAAGATGTGTTATAAGGGGTCGACACTGTCATAAACCCCCCGGGGTGGATCCACGACTATGGTTTGACGGGCGTGATGCCCAACTGAAGCAACGGCTAGGACCCAACCCCTTACCACTCCAACTCGGAATTTCTAAGGGCATTTCAAGTATTTTGATGTTCCAGAGTCTATCGGAATTTTTGGGATAATTTTTGGTAACCTTTAGGGATTTTCTATTTTCTAAAGTGGTATTTTGGGGATTTTGATAAAGTTGAGAGGTAGTTTGAGGACTATGGGATGGAGGCAAGGGTAATTTGGACGGTTCAAATTTGTTCTCTCTCTAGGACGACGGTTTTTTTCTCTAAAGTTTAATTTTCCAATACTTAAAAAACATGAAGTTAAGAGGGTTTTTATAGACATGAGTGAAATATATATAATAAAAAACATGACTCAAAGAGGGTGGATTTTAGAAATGAATTCAGGATAGGTTGAAAATGACAAAAACTAAGTCGTAAACTTTGAAATTTTCAATGATTTGCTTTTAAAGAAGCTTCCATCTTCATTCACCATCAAAACCCACCAAATTACATTGTTTTTCATCATTTCAGCTCAAATTTCTTTCATAAGATTATAAAACAATCAACCACAATAATTTTGCAATGAATTTGAGCAACAACCATCATCGATTCGCCAAGTTCCACTCATTTTAATTTTCGATTTTTCATTTTCGATAAAAATTGCATACTTATTTCCAGTCCTCGTCATTGCGCTCAAATTTGGCTACTATTTGACGATCAGCCAATATATTCTTCTGGAAGGCGCCAAGACCAATGTTTAGCGAAAATTTCGACCCAAAATGATGCCGAATTGAAAAGATACGGCTATTTTGCTTCTTTTCATTTGATGTAAAAATACAATTTCTCTATCAATTTGACAATTATCTCCAAATTTTTGTGTATTTAAAAGAGTGGCACCGAGTCAGGAATCTCCCTATCAAATTTTGCTCCAAAATACTTCGAAAGTGGCTTAGAAATGATTGGAGCCCCCCCCCCCCCCCCCACTTATTTTTTCCTATGAAATAGCCATGATTCAAATGAAAGCCCATGTAACAAATAACGTACCGAAATTTTATCCCATTTGACAGTATCAGCTGTGAGATATTGCCCCATCATCTGCCCAAAAGAATTTTGTGGCTGCTGCAACTCCTATGGTCTGATAGGCCATATAGCTTACTATAGTATTTTCAAGAAACAACTGATGGTCCGACCAATAATACCTTAGAACTCGTACTTTTTGACACCGGATCAGGCCGAAATTTGCGGGATATGATTTTCTCATTTATGTTTTCTTCCCATAAAATTTTCATCAAAAATTTAGCCTAGAGCTAAATCAAAGGTCTATTTTTTTATTTATTTTGTTATCCTCACAAAAATCATAACCATAAGAAATAATCAATTCACCTTTCTCAAAAAGTCAATATTATCAGAAACACCATAAGACACCTTCCCAATTAGTAGCAATTGCAACAATGTTTCTCCAGAAATTCAACAAAAATCTGAATCTATAATGGTAAAAAAATTTGGTGACTTCTGAAAAGATCCAAGAGTGTCATGACAATTGTTTTTATGCTTTCACCAAATAACAAATTTTGGGTTTTATGGATTTTTCAAATTTCATGTTTATTTCAGTAAATCATCACAATTTTGCAAACATTCCCTGTCTAATACAACAAATGTAAATGAATATCTCAATCAACCACCAGGAACGAAGTGGGACAATATAATTACCCTTGAATAACCATTAGGCATATCTTTTATCACACAACCAGGGGTGTGCCTCCTGTACCTAGAGAGAGGCAGTTGCAGACTCTCACAAATTGGAAGAAATTCTATATTTACAAAATGAACATGATCGATTCATCTCTATTGATCCAACAGTGGGCTCCCTTCCTTCACTAGCACAAAGAGCCCTCCATCACCCCTTGATATTCTCAGATCTTTGTCAAGATAACTTATCAAAAGCCAAGACTCAGATCCCTGACCAGGAATCCTCAACTTTAGAGGTGGTTGGCCTGAGATTGCACGAGAAATGTTTGCAAAACCTTCTTCAAGAGGGCTTAGAACGCTTGAGAGTGGAGAGAGATCGATACTCTGTCCAAAAACATCGACCTTGGTTGGCAAATCTGCAGGAGTCCGTATTTCAGGTGGGTTGAATACTCCTTCCTCAAACTTCACCTGAGCATGGACACAAAAGTTGGATGTTCTTAAAATTCATGAAGTCACCAAAATCTAGCCAGATATGCAAAGTAACAATTATACAAGGCAAACTTTGGTTGGCATTGGGAGGGGGGGGGAGGTAAAAAGATCAGCCCAAGTTCAGTAAAGATCTGAAATAACAAAATCCAAAAGACACGTTTTAGTTGGAGTGCATGCACATGTGTTTACATGTGCATGCGAGAGAGAGAAAGAGAGAGTAGATTTTGAACGCGCATTTTGTTTCCATTTTGGTGCCTTTGTTTTTGAAATAAGAAAGAAGCTTCATGGGTACAACACATCTATATACCTGTATCCTTGATGGGCTTCTAACTTCAAAAGAAGCTGAGGCACTGAATGAGAAAGTGGCGAGAGGACTCGAGTACGTGATGGAATTCTGAACGGTGAAGCTTTTTGTATTGATTTCTTGGCAGATCTTTTCAAGTTCCAAGAGTGGCAGTGTCCCTGCTGCTATAAGAGGCAGCAGCTCCGAAAATGCAGTATATCTGAAAATAAATAAAATAATAATAATTACAGGACCAGCATGAGAGAGAGAGAGCAGTGAACTAAGACATTGACTACTCCCTAAATTTCCATAGTTCAGCCTAGACGAAAATAGAAGCCACTAATGCATGACAAATGATCCATACAATAAGTTAGCTGATATTTGTAGATAGCAAATGCCAACCACTTTGCAAAGCCCTCAAGAAAAATGCTCAATTTCATACAACTAGCACTTCTAGGTTCTTCATACCCATCACTAATGGCCTCCTTCTTTTCTAACCATTACAGCTTTGAGCAACAATCTGATGATACTCAGTTTCTTACCAATCTAACACCATTAAATGGATGGATGAACAGTGCTAGAGGGAGGGCAGGATACCAGTTGGATCATGTACTCATGTTCCTGGTGGGTCCCCCTCATCTCCAATACCATCTATTCATGCATTGGTTGGCGGGGAAAAATATAGTTCAGGTAGAACCAGGTTCTACATGATCATTCCTCGTCTTAAAACTTTTCATAGACCATATACTTTGCACAATAATTGAAAACAGATTTGAGCAGATGAAATGTGGGTGGGGATAAAAACGTTGCTAATTTGGCTCCATCTCATATGTAGCATTCAATGAGAAGGTTAAATTACAACTAGAAATCAAAGAAATTGAAGAACCATGGCAGCTATTGTTGGTATATTCCAAGGAATGAGCAAGATCCTGCGTGACTAGACATATCTGCGATCAGGGCTCTTGCTCGGTGGCTCGTACAACTCATTTCCAGCCAATAGTAGAAGTGTGGACATTATGTTAATGACTTGCCCAAGCGAAGGAATGCCCAAGGGTCCTCATGACTCTGAACATGGGAAGGCAATCATCTATAGCCAAGGAATGGATGGTCTTTTGAACTTGACTATTAGGTGCGGTATCAAAGAGGACTTGGGTAAGTGCTCAAGATGCCTCAGCTAAAAATAGGATACGTGCAAGCCCTTGGCAAAAGTTCGAGTGACCGAGACTTGAGATCCATAACAAGCACAATCGTTTTCCCTTTGTAAAATACAGTTTTCAATTAACTTGAAGTTTTTTTTTTTTTAAAAAAAAAAAAGATGTTCACTTTGTACTAACTAAAATGGAGAGACAAAAAATGAAACAACCGCTCACGCAGTTGTCCTATACAAAAGCCCCGTAGGGCCCAAAAATGCTATACAGCATATAGAGTAAAAACAAAGAGCCATGTTAAGTACAACTCAGGATGACTACGTGAATTGACAGGGGTGCTGAGGTGGAGTTTAATAAGGCTCCCTCCTTGGCCCAAATATCGGCAGCAGGGTTAGCTTCCCTAAAAATGTACTGCCATGAGACCGTAAGGCCCCTACAAAGGTGCAATATTTCATCAAATATATGTTGTAATCTCCAAGGGCAGTCGGCAGAACCAGATGCCCAAGCGATAACGTTGCAGGAGTCTCCTTCAACCATCGAGTGGGGTTTCCAATTGGGGTTGAACTTTCGAAGGCCCTCCAAGAGGACTAGGGCCTCAGCTTGTGTAGAATCTACGATACCGATGGGGAGGAAGAAGCTAAGTAGGATCTGAAGATGCCTCCTATACCTTAGGATCCCGGGTTGAGTTTGGAGACTCCTAAATCCAGAGGTCTCCAAAGTGAGGCCTGAGAAATCCTTGGAGGTCTCACGTTCAGCCAGTTGCTAAAAAGGTTAGAGTAAGAGAAATCTTTGAACAATTTATGATTTTTGGCCTAGAAGGATACTAAAGATCTGACTTTCTCCTTGAGGTGGAACCCCTTGAGGTGGCCTGTTTGGTATAACCTTGAAATACAGGAACTGAAGACTTCTGCCGCGATGACAAGCTAGAAGGGTTACAGAGGGTCTCCATAGCGGAGCCCCCTAGAAGCCGAGAAGAACCTTTGGGGAACAGCACAGAGAATATTGGGGATGAGATGCACCCACGGATCCATTTCCTCCAACGTGGTCCAAATTCCATCCACATAAGAATTTCTTTTGAGATTGACCAATCAACATGGTCATAAGCTTTCTCCCAGTCAAGTTTAATGACTAGGCCCAGGGTCTTGGAGATATAGCGAGTGTGGATGCACTCGTGGGCGATTAGAACTCATCGAGTATTTAGCAATCTTTTACAAATGCGCCCTATGTGGGGGAGATGACCTTTAGTCTCAGACAACAGCTTGTAGGAGCTACTGATAAAGCTAATCGATCTGAAATCTTTGAGTTCCTCTGCTCCCTCTAATTTGGGGATAAGAGCGATGAAAGTCGTGTTCATCGCTTTGTTAATCACCCCCCCAGACTTGAATTCAGAGATGGTGGCCAGTATTTCTGGTCGAATGGTGTCCCAAAAAATTTTGAATGGGGCAATGGGGTACCGTCAGGGCCAGGAGCTTTATCGGGGCTGAGGCCTTTCACGGATTTCTTCTACGCCAAATGGGTGTTCCAGCCAAAATGACTGATCGGGAGAGAGGGTATGGAAGGACAAATCTGCCATGGAGGCTTTGACCCATGTGAGAGAGGATAGAAGCCAAGAGAAGAAGTCAATAACTGCCTGGTCTATGGAGGTGGGTTGTTGTATAATAGTGTCACCCACTTTGAGGTGAGAGATGGAGTTCTCTCTCCTCCTGCAGTTGACTACCTTGTGGAAGTACTTGATACTTAGATCTCCGAGTTTGAGCCACTTGATCTTGGCTCTTTGAGCCCATAAGACTTTTTCTTTGTGAAGGAGAGAGAGGTAATCGAGCTTTGCTTTAGACCTAAGCTCGAGTTTAGAAGGGGACAAAGGTCTGGCCTCTTCAATGGAGTCCCAATATTGAATGGATAGGCCTTCTGGGACTGAAAGTTATGAGGACGACTAAGGCTCCAAGTTTTGAGGAAGGCTTTCAGAAGTTGAAGTTTTTTTTTTTAACAAGATTTCAGAAGTTGAAGTTTCCCTTATAATCAACATCCTGCCCACCCGTGGACCAGGGGGATGTAAGGTTCCCATCAAGAACGTACCAAGTTGTAAAATTCTGGCTCCTCGAGCCAAGAAAGCTAGAACCAGAATGGTTTAGGACCCCTTGTGACAGCCTAGGTGTCGAGAAGGATGGGGTGACAGTCTGAAATGGATTTTGGAAGGGCGGAGGAGTGGGTCCCAAGGAAGGAGTGGTCCCATTCCACGGAGGTAAGGAACCTATCCAACTTGGAGAGGGAGGGATTGTTAGAATGGTTGGACCAAGTAAATTGGGCTGCTTCAAGTGGAATGTCCAGGAGTTGGTTCCGAGAGATGAAGTCGGAAGAACCATGACCGGAGAGATTCTGTGGTTGGAGTTGCGGTCATGAGACCAACAGGTGACATTGAAATCCCCCCCTAAGCACCAAACTGGGGGAGTCAAAGAGGCCAAGGCTTGGAGTTTAGCCAGAAGGAGTCCCTAAGATTGACGAAGTTGGGCCCATAAACCATGTGCACTACCAAAGTAGTCCATCAGAGATTCTAGACAAGACCACCATGATGGAGAATAGGCCGATCTGAGAAGAAACAAAAGAATGAGGGGAAGGGTCCCAGAGGACCCAACTTCCCCCCGAGGCTCCTTGTGCGTCGAGGGCAATCCACTTGCAAGGTCTGAAACCCCAAATTTTGCGGATGATTGGAGAAGCTTAGTTTCTACAAGAGCCAAAATGGTAGCGAAGTATTTAGACTAAGGTCCCTAATAGACTTTTGTTTGTTGTAGTGGCCTAAGTCACAGATGTTCCAGATTAGTATCCTCATGAAGGAGGGAGGGATTGGGTGCGCCAAGAGGGGCACTTGGAAGAGTGACTAGTTGTCTTGGGGGTAGAGGCACAAGACTTGGGAGGGAAGTCTTGGGTGTCCACGAAGGTTCCCTTGTTGTAGCTCACACCGCAAACCAAGTTGGAGAGCTCTCTTTTACCTTTGGAGCTCTTCCTATGTTGAATGCTAAAGTTCAAGGAGAAGAAGTCTTTCTAAAACTTTTTTTGGGTTGTCAAATTTGAAGCCCATTACTTTGAGAACCTTGTGCGCATCCCCTTGGACTTGATTCAAGTCTTGGATGAAAGACAAGTCCACTGAGGCTGGGGAGTACGTCTAGAGGCTATCAAAGGACTGGCAGGAAAGGTCCTGTTGATGGGAGGGGCTGTAGCATAGAAGGGGGGGCGTTGTGGCTGCCCGAAGGGATTCTAAATGTCTGCCATCCTGGTGGTGTGGGTGGAGGGGATCCAATAGGCTGGAGGGAAGCCAACGTGTTCAATTGGTGGAGAGTGGGGCATTCATTGTGCATGGAGCTCAAGGAAAGAGGCTGGGTTGAGGGTGAAGGGTGAGCTTGAGATAATTGTAGTCCATCCGAGGTGACTGGGTCAAAACTGAGCGAAGGCCAAGAGCAGGTGAGGGGAGGGGGGAGAGAAGAGGGAGGTAAAGAGAGGAGGGGTTAGGTGGTGCCTGCTGAGGGGAGGAATCAAGGGTGACAGATTGATGTTCGCCGGGGGTGTAGTGTATAGAGGAGGAGGCAGGAGGAGGAGCTGTAGAGGGGAGAAAAGTCTAAGGTGAAGGGGCTGAGGGAGGGAGGATGCCGGAGGGGGGAAAGGTGGAAGGGGGGAAGAAAGGGGCTGGTGGTCATGGTGTGGAGGAGGGGAGCAGGGGTGGAAGAATGAGATGGGGAACCGGGGGCTTAGGAGGAGAGAACGGGTAGTTACTAGGTCCTGGGGTAGGGAGAGAAGGAAGGAAGGGGTAGGGCCCACTAGAAATTGGTGCAAGAGCGAGTCAAGTCACGAAGGTTTGGAGGACACCAGAGTAGAGGGGGTCAAGAGGGGTACTGAGAGGTGGTTTGAGTAGTTTTCAGTGGAGATGGGGAAAGAAAGGGGTATGGAAGGGAGGTCAAGTGAAGCGGGGATGCAGGGTGAAGGGATCTGAGGAGGGGAAGAGGCCTGAAGAAGAGGTAGATTGGCAGAGTTCAGGGAGAATAGACAGGCCCACCTTGGGCGGAGCATAGAGGTTGTGATT